ATATATATAAATATATGTTTCAAGTAAGTATCTTTATGTAAAAGGTTTTATATGGAACTAGTAAATTGTGACTTTTATGAAAATTAATTGCAAAGTGTACTATTATCACTTTAGAGTGCCTTTTCATGAGAAATGTATCTATTTTTACAGATTTGTAAAGAAAGCAAGAAAAACAGCTTTTTTCATCCTTTGTGACTACTTTTAGTAAAACTTTACTTGCATGAGATATCGAAAATATTGTCTGATGATTTCCGCATTCCATTGGGTCACCTCTCTTTGGAATGGGCACAAATACGGATCTCTTCCAATCTGTCGGCCAGATAGTTGTTTTCCAAATTTCTTGGCAGAGATGTGTGAGTGCCTCCTGTGCCACCTCACATTCTTGAAATATTTCAATTTTTATTCCATCAATTCCTGGTGCCTTGTTCTTTGGCAATTCCTTCAATGTACCTTGGACTTCCTCCCTAAGTATCATTGGCTCTTGATCATATGCTACCTCTTGAAATGGTTGAATGTCAACCATTTCCTTTTGGTACAGTGACTCTGTGTATTCCTTCCATTTTCTTTTGATGCTTTCTGCATGATTCAATAATTTTCCCAGAGTATATTCTATGTAATTTGCTTTTGTTTGATGTTGTGGAAGAAAAATACTTTCATCCCCCACACATCTCAAATTGTTGTTAGAAATATTATTATAAGTATATAAAGAAATTAAAGTAGGCTCTAAACCCATGCATTGTTGATTTAACCATCCTAACTTAAATTTCAATGGAATACAAATTAAGTACTTTAGAAAACACGGTATCTCTTAGCAAAAGGTGAAAATATGAGGCCATTAAATTCAGCAAGCTTTTGGGTGAAGCATATTAACATTTCTGTCTTCATAATTTGTTTCTTATTTTAATATGTGATTTTTTAAAAAGGTGCTTAGTTTTCTTTGTGAAAGTATTACTGGGAAATAAACAGTAGTCTAGAAATTAGGCATTTAAACCCAATTATATCTTCAATTAAGTTAGAATGAGCTATTACAGAAAAGCTGGCTAAGATTGCCTATAAATTATTAGCCATTTGTTATAATGACTTTAGAGTTTGCTTCATGCATAATAGGAGTTTCTTCATAGTAAGACTTACGCATTCAACAATACTTGAGCACCTACAATGTGTTAGAGGGTGCGGTGGCTCTGTAGGATAAACACTGGTCTGCAAATCACAAGGTCTAGCTCACAAGCCGCTCTGTGGGAGAAAGATGAGACTTTATGCTCCTAAAAAGATTCACAGTCTCAGAAACTTTATACAGAGTCGTTGTGAGTTAGAACCAACTAGAGGGCATTTAACAACAACAATGTGGTAAGCATGGAGAGATTCAGTGTTTTAAACAATAAGTAGGTGCAATGTCTGCCTTATTTTCTCAACATTAAAACTCAGCACTCTGTTGATGTTGTTGTTGCCTTTGAATTGGCTCTTTTTGTATAACAGAATGAAGTGTTCTTCAGTCCTGCACCTGTTCTTTGTAGTCTTGTCTTAATCTAAAAGCTCCACTTAAACCGTAATTCCATGGAATCACCGAAACATGCAAGAAGCTGACACATGTGTGGTGGTTGTTGATGTTAGCCATTTCAGAATACTAGTTAATGCTAACTTTTAGGATTATCTCATAAATATATAGAATTTCATGAAATATAGCTGCCTTCTGAAATAATAAATTGTATGTGTGATATTACCCAAAACAATCATTCTTTACATTCATTTTCTAGTATGCACAACTAGCCAAGATTTTATATGATACTTTCTGCTCCTGAAAAGTTTTTAAAGCCTTGGAAACCCTAACAAGGTGGCTCTGAGTAGGAACCGACTCAATGGCACTTAACAACAACAATCAGTAAGCCATTAGAGTTGGCAGTAAAGGCAAGCCTAGCACTTGAGTAAATGAACTCTGGAAATTACCTCTTTTGTTTCAAATCCCAGAATGATTTAGGAACTATATGACTAAGCAAGTTGCTTAATCATCCAAGGCCAGTTCCTCATTTGTCAAAAGGGGCCATAATGTGTTGATCATACCAACAGCATTGATACAAAAATTCAATGTATTATTCATTATAAAACATCTAATAAATCTTAGCTATGTCCAATGATAATTCATTCATTGCTTATTGTAAATTACTTTTTAGTTTTTTTTATTAGAATACAATTTCTAATACAAATTAAATTTGTATTAGAAAAATGCTAAAAACATCAAAAAGCAAAAATTATTTATAATTCCATCCATCCATTCTCTCTTTAAATTTTGTCGAGTAAGAAGTACAAGTCCACATTCTTCTCCTCTCTTTATAACCACTCCCTTCCCACCAATGGAACCATTGTTAATGGTTTGGTGTATATTCATCCCAACATTTCCCAGTGCTAATGTAGCAGAGCTATTTGATATCTATCTTTTTACAAAAAGAAACATTTTATTGTATATTTGGTGAAAGTTTACACAGCAAATTAGTTCCTGGTTTAAAAATTTCTGTGTATATTGTTCAGTAACATTGGTTACATTTTTCACAATGTGTCAGTATTCTCATTTCCATTCTGGTAGTTCTGTTTCCATTCATCTAACATGGCTGCCCCAGTTACCTTCTCATCTTTGTTTTGGGGTTGTTGCTATGTGCCATCGTATCGGTTCTGACCCATAGCATCCCTGTACAGAGTTTCCAAGGAACGGCTTGTGAGCTTGAACCGCTGACATTGCAGTTCAATCTGACCTTGAAATCCAGAGTATTAACACACAGCACCACAGCAGGACTCTGGGGTAAATGTTGGTAAATGTTTGCTATTTGGTCTCATATAGATAATTATTTAAGGAGAACAATATTCTTTATTTTATGAGCCAAGCTGTTATTTGGCTAAGAAGTGAACTCCAGGAGTGCCTTCAGGTCCAAGCTTAAAGAGCTTCTCAGGGTAATAGTCTTTTTTTTTTTTTTAAAAGTTTTTATTGTAAATTGAGCAATAGTTTACATGGGAGAACATCAGCTTTACATTCATCCTGTCGTATTTCATTTCATTGCAATGATTACAATCCCTTCCATGCATCATCATTCAACAGCATTTGCTTCCACTTCCTGTGTTTTTTTTTATTTTTTATTTTGGATTTACACCAGCACTCAGGAATATATAACCATTCAAACAACCAAAGGGTATACCCCGCAAGCCTGCCCCCTGGCCATCAGCACACAGCCCATCTCCCTCCCGGAGTCCAGAGTCCCCAGCCACTCCATCTCTCCATGTCATCCTGTATGCCTCCATCTCTGGCATCACTGC